CTAAAATAGATATTTTTAATTTCTTTTTCTTGCCTAATTGCTCTGGCCAGAACTTCTGATATTGTGGAATACAAATGAAGGAAAAAAAAGAGGACATCCTTGTCTTGTTCCTGATCTTAAGAGCAAATCTCTTTTTTAGGAGATATAGGATTTTTTCCCCCTCTCCTGTCAGACATGAAACTTAAAATGTATCTGGAAAGACATGTGGGGTATAAGTGCATGGTAACAAGGGAATGACTTAGATCTTGGGACAATCCTTAATTGTGAGAATTTGTAGGAACCTTGGGGATCATTGCAGCCAAGGGCTCAAAAAGATAAAGTAACTTGCTTAAGCCCACCTAGCTAATTGTACACCAAACAGGGACAGGAAGTCAAGATTTCTGACTCTCATCTAGTGGTATTTACTGATCTTAGGAAGCACACAGCAAACACATAAAACATAGGCCCTTGCAACTCTACAGCTGAGAGAAAGATTTCAAGAGAAGCCGAAGGGTGCAGAAAGGAGGGCTAGATTGGCTTTGATGACTTCACAATTTGGCTGAAATGCACTGAGATACAAATTAAATTGCACAATCTCTATCAGTTGGGGTCATAGGTTTATTCATTCATTCATTCATTAAAAAATAAAGTGAGGCCTACTATGTGCCAGGAACTGGGAATATAGCCCTGGGCAGTCAAGTTTCCTGCCCTCTAGGAGCTGACACTCTAGAGCTCCTCACGCCCAGTCTGAAATTTTCCTTCTTTCTTTTAATTCTCTGTGGGGTTGCTGGGGTGTGGGGGTGTACACCTCTAATCCCAGCAACTCCACCGAGGAGGCTGAGGCAGGAGGATCACAAGTTCAAGGCCAGTTTGAGCAACTTGGTGAGACCCTATGTCAAACTTTAAAAATAAAAAAAGGTCTGGGATTATAGTTCAGTAATAAAGTGCCCCTGGGTTCAATCCCCAATACCAAAAAAAATAAAAATAAAAAATAAAAAATTTTCCATGGATGAAATGGGTCATGAGACGTGGAAACATTCAACTGAGGCCAGAGATCCTTGCTAAAGACTAGAACATGAAAATAACAGTAACAGGGGCTAATAGCAACTTTAGGGATTCTTCAGGATATGAAGAGTCTCTGGTGGCCGCTGTCTCCACTGGTACTGAGTAGTGGCTGACAGAGTGGTAGATGTCTTCAGCTCATTCTTGTATAGGAAGTCCTTGGAGCTCACCCTTACTTCTCTGATTGAAGATCCCACACCAAACCCCAACTGTGGCTAAGATACTAGCCCTGTTATTGAGAAAGGCATGGCATAGATCTGAATGCAAGAAAATCAGGTGCTTTTTCGGAGTTCAGTCCTAAAAGCTTCAAAGCAGGCTATCGTAAGAACCCTAGACCAGCAGAAACCCAGCCTGCAACATCAAAGTTATAGGGCTGCTTCTTTCCTGGGGCTGGGTGTCTCCATGCTGCCTGCCTCTGTCTTGCATTCTGTTCTGTATCCCAGCCTCAGCCTCAAGGATGGGTCCTCACCCTCAAGTTCAGGAAAGGCCAGAGGCAGGAGTTGGAAGACTTGGAGTTTAGCTTCATGTCTTTCTTTAACTTTTTGATGTTCCTGGGGTGGTGGGGGTTGGGGGATCACTTTACTGTTCTTAACCTCAGCTTTTTTTTTTTTTTCATCTGAAAAATGGAGAACAATACTGTTAAGAGAATGTTAGCTACTTGGGATGGTCAACTTGTCTGGATTGTGAAACACCTAGAAAATTAGTAAAGTGTACTTCTGGGTATGTCCATGAGAGAGTTTGAGATGACTGGCCTGTGGGTTAGTGAATTGAGGGGGAAATACCCTCCTCCCTAGTGCAGAACTGTTCAGTGGGCTGGGAGCCTGGATGGCACAAAAACAGATTACCCAACAACCATTCCTCTCCCTTGTTAGTAACCGTTCTCCTGTGCTGGGGATGGAACACAGAGCTTCATGCATGCCAGGTAAGCCCTCTACCACTGAGTCCCCCTCCAGACCCTGTGTTCCACTTTTGTTCATTCACATGTGAGTGTTCATGTTTTCATGTTTCAGACTTAATCTAGTCTCAGACCCGAATCTAGTGGATGAATCTCAATTTTCCAGTACAACCACAGATAATTCCGTTCTCTTTGACAATGCTTAAGATCAGAAATGCAATACAATTCTGGACAATGCCATGGTACAAGAGATCTGCAAGGGAGATTCTAGAAAAGTCATCTTTATTTGAAAAACAAAATGAAGAGAGACTCTTCCCTTTGTTACCTCTCCACGTGGCTCTGTGAGGAGGCGTGGCCCGAGGCTGTTGCAGCCATCTTAGGACCATGAGGCAGCAAGCCTGAGGATAAAAATCAACCTGCTGGAGAGGGCAGGATGGAAAGATGGAAAGAAACTGTGGGTCTCTGATCATTAAGCTTCCAAATTATTCAATGCCAGAAACTACCTCAGAACTCCTTGCTGTGTGATTGATGATCAGCGTCCTTTTTGTTTAAGGCAGTTGAGTCCATTATTTGCTGCTAAAAGTATCCCAACCAATTCACCATCTATGCAGACAAATATCCACAGGAGATTGTGGGTAGAATTCAATGGAAGCGCGCGGAGAGAAAGCGGGCGACAGGGAAGGCCAACAGTATGGCAGCAGAGAAGAAAAGGAAGAGAGGAAAGAAGACAGAGAAAGAGCCCCACTGGGTCAGGAAGAGAATTAGAACACACTGTGTTGTGCAAATTAAGGAAAGGAAAAGGCCCAAGGAAAAGACGCGATGGGTAGAATGAAACCATGCAGAAATAAAGATGAATGAGTTTTGCAACAATAGAGCGTGCGGAGGCCTGGGGGGGCAGGGATCATGATTTGCTGGTTGACTGACTGCCTAGATGATTGATTTGACAGCTTTGGTTCCCCTCACTGGCCACTCCATGGTGGTCGGGATGACCCTAGTGTCCAGGACTTGTGAAAGCCACATGTCCAGGGCTCCCGGGACTGTGGAGTTTACAGAATGCTGCCCATTGTCACACCGGGAGTCCTGGCACCTGGTCCTGACCCTATCTTCTGCAGACAGAACATGAAACAGTTTGTTTATCAGTCCCAACTCGAGGCACTGTCGCTTTGTTGCATTCTTGTTACCAACACCGGGCGCAGCCCCGCTCCTGCTCATCCTGCTTCCTCCTTCCTTTCTTCCTCCTATCCCTTTATTAGCTGACTCCGTGCTTCCTAGCCTTGGTCATGTGGTTTCCCTGCCATGAATGTCCTCCTTCCTCATCCCGTCTCCGCTTGTTTAAAAATCCCACTTCCTGTGCTTGAAGACTGATGCTTCTCCAGGAAGCCCTCCCCAGTCTCCCCCAGATGGAAATCATGGCTAGCACTTCCTGCACTCGCTCTCATTCCACTTGGCTTGAACTTCACCTAAGCACCAGGGAGGAGGTATTTTGGGGCATGTGTGCTCCCCTGGAAAGCAAATAGAAAGACCCCGAAATAAACTCACCTATGGAAGCAAACAGCCTGCACAAACTCTGTCCCGTAAGTGCAAAGGGGTGGGCGCAGTGGAGGGAGAGCTGCGCACACCCTCTCCTTCACCTGTGACCCGGCCCTACCCCTCTTCCCCTCTCAGAAAATCTCCAAGGTGGAGCGACCTTGGCAAAGCATGCTGGGACTTGCTCAGGCCCTGGCTATGAATAGCCCTGCGGGGCCTGGCTGTGCCCTGCCCAACTTCCCTACCTTCTGAGAGTAAGTGATCTCACAGGCCCCAGATAAATGCCCACTTCCTTTTGGGCCAGCCTCTCTCTGCGGCCTTCCCTCCTCTTGTCCTCTCTCCTGGGCTCCAGGCCCGATGTCTGGCCACTCTGTCTTATCTCTCTTTCTCGTTCTTTATCGGTCATTGTTTCTTTCTCTGTCTGCCCATCTCTCTGAGACACTGTCCTTGTCCTTCCTCACTCCCTAGTCTCCCTGAGAGGAAGAGCCTCCAAAGAAAACAACAGGCCTCCTTGCATGCAAGAAGGGAGAGATCTTACCAGATCCCGGGGAACAGACCCACAGGATAAAGGGCTTTAGCCTGTTAGGATCCTAGAAGCCAGAAATGCCAACTGTCCTCTGACTGGTGTCTTAAAATGGCGACCAATTTTTTTTTTCGGGGGGGGGGGGGCACCCTTCTTAGAAAAAACCAAACAATAACAAATGACCAGTACCCTCAGTTTATGCCTGTCTACTTATTCATAAACCATGAATAATTGTGGTGAAGAATGCTAGTTGCCTCCCAATATACTGTTTCCCTTCTTCTACAATGTTAACCACCTTAAATTTTAGCTAAACACACAATCAGTTAAAATTAAGGCTGTATTTTCCGTGCCTTAGTAGAGGGATATAACCATTGGGATTAGGTTGTGGCCAATGGGATTTCTTTCTTTTCTTTAGGTGATGGGAATGGAACCCAGGCTTGTGCAGGCTAGGCCAGTGCTTCCCAGGGAGGGACACCCCCAACCCTTTTTATTTTATTTTTGAGACAGGGTCTCACTAAAGTGCCCAGTCTGGCCTTAAACTTGTGATCTTCCGGTCTCAGCCCCCCAAGTCGCTGAGATTACAGGTGACAGTGGGATTTGAACAGAAGTGATGTGTAAATCCTTGAATTCACCCCTCTAACCTTACTACCTTCAGGCTGCCCCTGGAGTGTGGGTTTGGTGGAAAGCTCTCTTGGACTCTAGATTAGGATAAGCCCAGCCATAAGCCCAGCAATGGTGAGGAAACGAGAAAGGAGAAGCCTGAGTCACTTGACAATCTGATGGAGCAGAGGCTTCCTATCAGCCTATCTGTCTGTTTCTAGACACTTCTGTCTAATTTAGGTACCGCTGTCAAGCCACTGAAGCTGTACTTTAACTATGTTGTATTTTTATAACAACATTGTCTGCAGCATAGAACACACACAACACAGGAACTGAAAAGGATGATCTTTTAATTAAGTTTTTATTTTAGAATAAGCTTACATCTACAGAGATGTTACAAGAATAGTACAGCAGGTCTCATATTCCCCAGGCCCCATTTTTATTATTAATATGGTACATTACCATGATACATCTGTCACTATTAGTGAACCAATTTTGATACAGGATTATTAACTAAAACTCCTGCCTTACGGTGTTGTTTTTAAAATCAATAGAAATTTACTATTTTCTTCCCAACCCAGTGCATCTTGCTTGACCCTTCTGGCATGTGCACCCCATGGGGGATACCCTTGCCTTTGATGCTCAGGCCCCTTGTGTCCATGCCTGACGGTCTTCTCACTGGTCGTGCAACACAGGAAAGAGGCACCGAGAGGGGACACGAGATGAAGGGAGCCTGAGCTTTCCATATGAGAGTCCAAAGAGCTCTAGTACTGAGTAGGTCTGAGAAATGGTGTGCTAGGTATCACAAAGAAGTTCAGAAAGCCTCTGGGAGGCAGTGCCCAGGCAGTGAGCTGTTGCTAGAAGAGGCCAAGGCTGATGGAGAGAAGGCCTGGCGTTTCCAAGGTGGAGTCGAGCCCATGCGCAGACTCCAGGAGTGGAAGGAGAAGGGCGAGGTGGGGGTGGGGGTGCGGTGGCATCTGGTTTGCATTAGGAATGTGGGCTGGGAAAAAGCACAGAGTGAGGAGGCCAAGAGGCAGGGTGGTGGGTGTCTGCCCTGAGTCCTGGGGGCTTTCCTTGTTCAGAGCCTGTCTGTATGCCTCAGAGCCCAGGGCCCCGTGTGCTCCACGTGACTCCTCTTCAGGGCGGTGGGGTTTTCCTCAACCCTTGGGAGCCCGGGTATCTGGAGGGCAGCCGCATTTCAGAGAACACTTAGAGCAAGACTCTGCTGTCCAGGACAGGCCAGGAGATAAGCGTTCTCAGGAGAATCGAGGCCTTTTCTGGCATCTGTCCTCCTGAGTGCACCCATGCCTACAGGACCCATCCCTTGCTGCCAGCTTCTGTTCAAACCCTGATTTCCAACCCAGAGTGAGCATGAGGTTTTATGTGGCTATGCAGGCAAGATACCTGTGGGTTGAAGGTGTTCAGGAAGAAGCAGGGGTTCTGGGGCCATCTGCAGTTTTTCTCATCTGAGGAGAAAAAATTAGCCCAGGGAATTGTGCCTGGGGCTTTGCATCCTGACTATCATTTAAGTCTGATTTGTAGAAACATAGGCATAGAATAAGGAAGTCACAGACCTGGGAGGAAGGAACATATGGATCCTTATCATGGAAATAACCTGTTTACTTGTGAGCATCCCTGAGGACGGAGTCTGGGTCTTATTTCTTTTGGATCTCCACGTCTATTAACAGGTGCTCAATAAATCTGTTGAATGAACTGTCCATCCAGCCATTGCTTACCTTATTCACAGCAGACCCAACTGGAGTCTGGGTATCCTGAGTCTTGGGTCTGAGCATGCTCTTTGCTATATGGAATTGCTTCTGGACCTCAGGTGGCCTAGCAGAAGTTCCAGCTACTTTTTGGTTCTGTCGGTCAGCTTGTACCTCCGCCCCGAGAATAACTATGCTCACCTTCTCCTCTGGTGGTTCAACTAAGCTCATTAGAACATGGAGCTAGTGAGGGCACTTGCAGGGTCGTTTCTCACTTGGGCTACGTTTCCTCTCAGTATCATAGTTTTACATACACCTGTGTCCCCCAAGAAACTCTGAGCTGTAAGAATACGGGTCTCATCTTCTTTGTTTTCTCCATATCTTTGTTTTCTCTGTCTTCTTTGTTTTCCCCAAGACACTCCTGGCGTATCCCACATGGAGGAATGGAAAAGTGTGGTTGATGGCATTTTGCCTGTGTTGGAAGAGCAACTGGTGCTGCTCCCAATGAGACCATCTTTCCCTTAAGGTAGATGAGACCATAATGTGCTAAGAGGTTAAATTCAAACTCAGGAACCATGAGATTGAGCAGGAAATCCTAGGCATAAGCTCATCTGCCCATAGAAGCATCTAAACCCAAGAGGAAAGGACTGCTTAGAAGCCAGGCTGGAAGAAACTGGCTAAGGTCACCCAGGTGCCCAACCAGGCAGGAGGACGGAGTTACAGATTCACAGGCAGCTCCATGGTTCCAGAAGAGGAGAGGAAGCCAGTTAAGCCAGCCCTGTGAAGCAACTTTCTCTCCTCTCCCTGCTCCCCAAACCCCATGGCTCTGCTTTCTTCTGCTGCTGGAGAAAAGGGACAGGCAGTAGTGACAGCCTAGAAGACATGATGGGCATGCCGATCTTCCCTTGTTGGAATCCTCTTCAGTATCCTTGTAAAGATTGGTTCCAAATTTACCACACTAAACTTCAACTTTATTCCAGCTGGAAATAAAACATACAAAGTTAGTATTCTTGGTAATCCATCTCTAGCACAGATGAATGATTTGTCAAATGAATGTCTAAAATATCTCCCCTGTGGAAGGGTGTCTCCACAGCAGGCCATAAGGATTCTTGTCCCACTTGGGGGCACAGCCCAGGTTCACTCTCTTCCACTTGTATACCTGTTCCGTCCTGGGAAGCTCTCAAGACAGGCTCCCCTGCATGCCCCTAGAGAGAGCACTCAGTGGCCCCGGACAGTCACAGAGCCCAGAGCCTTGACAGTGCTAGTTCCCATCAGTGGGCCTTCTCCCAATACTGCTGCATGCCACCCCCCTCCCATTTCCTCAGAATACCACTGGGATCCTTGGATGTAAGGCACTTGGCAGCTTCAAGGGTTTCCCAGGCAGCCCCTGGCCCCCTAGACTCCGAATATTGGTAACCTTCGCCCCTATGCAACCCTGATCCTTGGGCTTGGAACCAGAGTCATTAAATATTACTCTCTCAGTCTCCAAAGGGGGGTAGGGTGGACTGGCTTCTGGGAAGCAGCTGGATTCTCAACACTCAAAATCTGACTGGGCAGGAATGGTGGCCCTGGCTGGAATAAAGCTGTCCCAGCTTCCCTGAGAGGGGAAATACACAACCGGCTTTTCCTCCAGCCACCGTCAAGTCACCCACACTATCCTAAGGAGGAATTGGCCCCAAGAATGTAAAATCAGGAAGAGACCTAAACCAATTCCATGTAACTTAAAGAATTCTATGACTTAAAAAAAAAAAAAAAAAAAGATTCTTAACTTTAACGATTATCTAAGTTTTCCGGGGATAGGGAGGGAGGGAAGCTGATTTCTGATGAAACCTGGCTACAGACAAGTCTCAAAACAGAGATTCCACCTGATAATGTCTGAGAGGCTGTTCTCTGAGTTTTTAAAAAGTCATGGGAATAGATAAGAGTCTAAGGGTTCTAAGTATTTTCTGCTTTGAAAACAAAACTAGCCATAAAGTTTCAGTGCTAGAAGGGGACTTTGAGACCATTGAAGCTGACATCCTCTTTACATAAAGGAGGAAGTCAGAACCCACGTGGTCAGTAGGGCAGGTAACTGACCATGAAATAGGAAGCATAGCCTCCCCTCAAAACTTTGAGTCATGTCTGCATGGTGGCAATATCTGTAATCCCAGCGACTCAGACAGTAAGTTTGCAGGTTCAAGGTCAGCCTCAGTAACTTAGTGAAGCCTAAGCAACTTTGCAAGACCCTGTCTCGAAATAAAAAAATAAGAAGTGCTGGGGATGTAGCTCAGTAGTTAAGAGCTTCTGGGTTCAATCCCTGGTACCAAAAACAACAACAACAAACACCTTGAGTCATATACACACCTATAACTAGAGACAAACTTTTTTTTTTCCGGTACTAGGGATTGAATCCAGGGTCACTTTTCCTCTGAGTCACATCCCCAGTCCTTTTTACTTTTTATTTTGAGATAGGATTTTGCTAAGTTGCCCAGGCTAGCCTTGAACTTGCTATCTTCCTGCCTTAGCCTCCCCAGTGGTTGGGATTACAGGTGTGTGCACCACCATGCCCAGCTAGAAACCAATATATTTACCCAAGGCCCCTTACCCAGCAGCTCTGCCATGCCACATAAAGATTTCTGCCCAGCTGCTATTTTGTTGCACCTGCTGGGTGTGCTCTTTTTTTTTTTTCTGTATGTGTCATTATGTACATTTTAATGACTTATTTCCCCTATTAACCAATAAACTAGAAAAAAAATGGGGCCTTTGGGTTTCTGCTTGTAAACTCCATGTTAATGACACATTAGTGACTTGGCATTAACTAACCTCTAACTAACCTCCTACTGGCTACTATCTCAGGTGACCTCCAGCAGCTCTCCAGGGTGGTGTCCTGACTGTGCTACTTCCCAGCTATGTGATCTTGAGCCATGACCTACACTTTTCTCCAGAAGGGAGGTCTACAGTCCCCAAAATATATAATGTGCAAAGTAAACAGAAGGCCCAATGAATCTCAACTTCAGGGCAAAATCCTCTGGAACCCCAGCAACCAGATTAAATTCCATAAATTCCTCCTATTGATTAAAATTCTAGAGCCGCTACTGCTCCCTTACTTTGAATTTCCTCATCTGTAAAGGTGGTAAATAATATTGTCTATGGTTATTAGGAAAGGTAAATGAGATAATCCATACTTGGCACTGTGATAAATCATTCAATACATGTAAGCACCAGTTGCCGTACAGGGATGGATGACAGGTAAAACATTTGCTGTCCTCTGGCTCTTACAGCTCCCCAGAGACAGCAAAGGATGCTAAGTGACTGATGCGACTGACAGACTAATGTAAGAATGGAGAAGATGCTGATCCAGGTTACTATGCACTGAGTTTTTTTCTTTTTTCCTTTTTTTTTTTTTTTGTACCAGGGATTGATCCTGGGGGCACTCACTACTGAGCCCCATCCCCAGCCCTTTTTTGTATTTTATTTAGAGACAGGGCCTCACTGAGTTGCTTAGGGTCTTGCTAAGTTGCAGAGGCTGGTTTTGAACTGGTGATGCTCCTGCCTCAGCCTCCGGAACTGCTGGGATCACACTGCACCTGGCGCCATGCACTGTTCGGGGAAGACTGGGAAGATTTCAGAAAGGTTAAGAAACCTGAGCACGTGCCTCGTGACCAAGGCTCTCCTAAGCAGTTGGCGACTGCCCAGCTGGAAGGACACCCTGCAGGGAAAGGAAGATAGGCCATAAACTGAACGGCATCTTCAAGGTGTGTGAGTAATTGAGTGAGGGGAGTGAGAAGTGTTAGGCAATGAGACAAAAGTGGCTTTGGATCAAGGAGACCTGGGTTCCAATAATGGCTCCATCCCTGACCAGCTGCCTGAGCAAGTCCCTTCACTCTCCGAGGGCCATTTAGAGGGAGAATGCAGCCATGGAGAGGGGCATCCTCCAGGCCGGTGCAACATTCTGGAAAGACCATGGCGAAGGATTGACCCCTTCCTGAAACAGTGAAAATGTCAATCAAAGGAGAGGGGCGGGAGATTTGGGAAGCCTGGAGGCAAAATGGACAGTCTGGGGCCCTTGGTAGGCAACTAGGGTTAGATGAGGTCATGAGGGTGGGGCCCCCATGATGCCATCAGAAGCTTTTCAAGAAGAGAGAGACCTGAGCTAGCATGCTCACTCTGCCTTGCCACGTGTTGCCCTCTGCCATGCTAGAGTGCCACCCCGGCACTCCTGGACTCGCCAGCCTCCAGAACCATGATGTAAATAAACCTCTACTCTCCATAAATTATCCAGTTACTTTTTAGTTCTAGCAACAGAAAACAGCCTAAGAGGGGATCAGAAAGGCAAAGTTACTCTCCCAAAGCCAAGGTGGGGAGGAGCCTGGGGAGGAGGGGGTGGGGCAGAATGACCAGTGATGGGGTCAAAACAAACACTGGGGACTCCTTGAGCCAGTGAAGTCACGGTCATTGGTTCAATGGCCATCTGTAGAAAAAGCTGTACATTTTTGTTTTTAACATCATGTTGTGTGGTTCAAATTGCTCTTAAACTATTGTGTACTGCAGCAAGAGATGTCGGTTCTTTTAGAAGAGGCCAGTTGATGTCATGGGCCAGGCCATAAAAACTGCCACCCAGTGTCTAGGAGGATGAAACTGTCAGAGGGACTGATCTTAAGAGCCCAGAGCGCTGACACGGTAGCAGTCACCCCTCAGGTAGATCTTTCACGTGGGCTCGGTCTCCCGGCCCCCTACCCTGGGAACCACCCTTCTCAGCTAGACGGCCCAGCAGAAGGAAGACCCGAGAGGCTCCAGGAGCACATGTGCCCACAGGAGCAGATAGGACAGCCTCCACCATCTGGGTGCCCTCCTGGGGGTGGAGCTGTGTGTCTGGGGTCAGCAGAGAAGGGCTATGGGGGTCTTCGCACACCAGGAGCAGCAGGTCTGACTCTGGCCGAGCAAGGGCCTCTCCATTGGAAGCAGAGCTGGCCAGGGCTGCCTGGAGCAGCTCCACCCCCCTGCTGGTTTTCATGGGTGGTGAGCACCTTCTGCCTTGCCTGATGCTCCCAGACCTCTCCGGCATCCTACCCACAGGCTCTCCAAGCCTCATCCTGCTCGCTCAGAAACCCGGTGAACGGGCTAAGCTGGGAGCAGGCGGCAGTCCCCAGGCCTAGCCCAGGCTGGCAGGAGCAGGCCCCTGCCTGCCTCTAGGTCCCTACCCTCCAGCTGTCGCTCCCCCTCCAGGCCCACTGGCACCATTTGGCAGAACGCAGCCCCCTGCCCCCACCCCAGCCCGGTCCAGCAGGCACAGCTTCAGTTTCCACAGAAACTCTGGCTTTCCTGGGGTTTGGAGCAGGCCAGGCGAGCAGGGAGGTGGGTGGTTTCTGCTGGCCACAGGCTCAGGCGGCCACACTCCTCTCTGAGTTCCAACTGCTGCTGGCTTCTGAAGCCCCTCTCCTCCCACAGCTTCTGGCAGGGCACGGCCACCGCAACTACAGAGGCTTGGCCAATTCTGGCAGAGGGGGATGGGGTGGCCTATTGTTGGTTCCTATTCCTCCACTCCCTGAAATCCAAAAGAGCAGCAATCGCATGTAAGTGTCCTTTGGAACCTTTCAAAGGGCTGTCCGAACTGTATCTCACTCGATCCTCCTGGTTTCTCTAAGAAGCAAGCAGGATGACACAGATGACCCCTCTCGGCCCCAGGAGAAGCAGAGACTACAGAGGTGAGAGGACCGGGGCTGTTAGAGGGTACGGGCCCCCGTGGAACCTTCCTGTTGCCACATAGTCACTGCCACCACGTATCACGTACCCGACAAGAGACTCCTCAGTGTGTTCCCAGAAGCCACTGTGAAAATGTCTTTTTGCTTTCCATCGCCTCTCCTAGCACAGAAGAACCCAGAGGCCCCCCTCATTTAGGGAGCAGAGAGGGCAGCTGAGGGACAGCAGTTGGCTCTCGGGCAGCCTCACCTTGTCCAGGCACCAGAACCTGCCTTCCTGTCTCTTGTAAAGAATGAAACCCTTTCCAAGGTAATGGGAAGCTTCGAAAGTAAGGTAAAGGAAATGACCAAGGATCAGGAAGAAGGCGGGCGGCGGAGGAGAGGCCAGGTCACAGACAAGTGGGGCTGGAGAGAGAGTTTCCAAATCTTGCTCTGTACACCACTTGGTGGTCCCTCGTGTGGACTTTCTGATGTGATCGTGAGATGAGAAGGCTCTGAGGACAGCCCAGGACTATTTACCCCTGAATTCAGAGAGTCAGTCACGGAGTCCAAGCCTCTACCTCAGCTCAGCCCCAACCCTGAATTCCCCCAGATGATGAGTCAGTCTGAATCCTCATCTGCAAGATCTTCAGAGAAGGAGATGCCTTACTGATCTCTTCCTGGATCTATACACTTGGATGGTTTCAATGAACTTCCTGGGGTCTTGCCTAAGTCCTTCCTGCTGCATTTTTAAAAGGCCTCTTTTTGGGGTCTCTGTGGGGCAGAGCAGGCATGGTGCCAAGGGGCAGGAAATGAAGTCATGATGCCGATCATTTCCCTCTTTTCTTCCCTCTCTTTCCTCATCCTGCCCCATCTCCCTGTTGCCCCCACTCCTGGGACCACTCATCAGACGTCCTGTGACTGTGACGAGAAAGGTCTGCGTGCACAGTGCCCTGATGTGTTGTCGATTTTTGCCGTGAGCCTTGAGGCTTCTGCTGCAGCCCCGACAAGGGAAATCCCATAATGAAGGATTTCACGGAGCTCCACACACGGGGGGAGGCTTTTCTTTCCATCTGTCATTTTACTTTAAGCCTTGACCTTTGTGTTCCCATGTAAGGCAGGACCAAGAAGAGGCTTGGACTGGGGAGTGAACGTCTGGTTGGGACCCTGGACTGGGTGGCCAGTGAACCAGGGCAAGTGACCTAAGACTCGGGTGGAGTGGAAAAGAGAAATTAAGCCAGATATACACACTCGAGAAGTGGAGACGGGAGACAGGCAGGGGGAGTAGAGAAGAGAAAGGACAGCCCCCTTGGTTTAGGAGTTCCTATAAGGAGGTAGGAAGGCTGAACAAGCTACAAGTCCCCTGGTGTAGCCAGACACTCAGAGAATTCATGATTACCAAAGAAAACAGAGGGTTCAGAGGAAAAAATTAAAATTCAAAAAAAAAAAAATTGGGATTTGAATACCAGTTCCTCCACTTGGAGCAAACTTGAGCAAGCTGCTAAGCTTCCTCAACTCTCATTGTCCTCTTTTGAAAGTCAGGGATAGTGACGCAGTCATAGAAGACATTGCTAGTTTGCTGTGCAGATAAAAGCACTTGGCAGCTGGGTGTGGCAGCTCAGGAGGCTGAGGCAGGAGGATTGCAAGTTCAAGGCCAGCCTCAGCACCTTAGCAAGACTTAAGCAACTTAGTGAGACACTATCTCAAGAAAAATAAAAAGGGCTGGGGATGTGGCTCAGTGGTTAAGTGCACCTGTGCTCAATTCCCAATTACCCCCCCCCCCACACACACACACACACACATACAATTCTTGGCATAGCACCTGCAAACAGGTAGCACTTCATCAGGGGTAGCTATGTCCTTGGAGAAAAGATAGGACCTCAACATCAAAAAGCCCAGCCTTCGTCTCTCTTTGCCAATGGGACCCCCTGAACCTCCCCAGAGGGGCCTCGAACCAGCACAAACAGCCGATGGGAAAGCCATCCCAGGGCTTTGATACCAGCAAAGGGACCATCCTCTGCCCAGCTTTCCCATGTCAGGTCGATAGGAAGACTGAAAAAAAGAAAAACCCGGTCTCCAAGGCTCCAAGACAAAACACCCGCCCCGCACGGCTTTGAAAGGGCAAACTCTCAAGATGCACAAGGATTTTGATTGTTTGAAATGTTGGTAACATTTCATCTTCCCAGAGACCTTGTTCATTTATCAGGGTTCTTAAAACCCTTTTGTTCATAAGCTCGTGGTGGGGACAGAAAACATTCTATCTAATATCAGAGCACAGCTGTTCAGTGACCGAAAGACTCGGGGGGAAGCCCTTAAGAAAGGAAGGGGGGACACACGAGGGACAGAGACATGGGAAAAGTAGCTGGGGCAGGAAGAAGGCCCCACAAGCAACAGCTGCCTCGCAGGAACACGCTGTTTGGGGTGGTGCGAGAAAAAGAACCAGCTCGCTGACAGCACAGCTCCACCAGGTCTCAGCAAACAGGGCAGCTCCACCAGGTCTCAGCAAACAGGGCGGGCAGGCGACAGGGCAGGCCCCGAGGCTGGGCTCCTCCTCTCTGTAGGGTTCCTGGCAATGGTGCACGAGGCCCCCAGACGGGGCCCCTAAAAATGTTTGAAGTAGGTGTGGAGGCCTGAGTAACATCTTCTTAAGGGCCAGTGTGGCTGGGGGAAAAAAAAAAAAGTCTAGTGGAAAACTTTGTCCATCCAAGGCCACAGAAGACCAGGCAACATTTTCTAAAAAGGGCTTTGAATGCTGCTGAAAGCACAAGACAGAGTGAGCAGGGCCAGGCCTAGGTGGGGACCCCGTGGCACTGCCACTGGCCGTGTGAGGTGAGGGCAGACGGTCCTGAGCTCTTGATTACTTAGTCCTGTGGAACTTCACAAATTAGGATAAGGGAAAATCACCTCCGTGTCTATGAAATGTCTGGATAGTAGGACATTTTTTAAATGTGAATTTATCTCACATTTAAAGTCACTTCCTAAAAAGAGGGAAATAAACTGAAGGACTTTTTTTTTTTTCCAGAAACAGAGCTCAAAACTAGGGCCTCATGGGTGTGACCTCAGCCTTCTACCACTGAGTTACATCCCCAGCCCAGGTTCATTTTTTAACACTGAGAATTACAGTTGCCTTGCATGTGCATATTTGTATGTGTGTACTAGTCTGTGATACCAGTGTACTATAGAAATCATCATCACCATGAGCTCCTGAATCATGTGTGGGTTTGGATTCTGGTGCTGGGTGACCTTGAGAAAATGTTTCAACCTCTCTGGGCCTGGCATTCCTCACCAGCACAATGAGAATAAAGGCACCTACTTCATGGGATTGTTATGAAAACGACATGAGAGGCTACTTATGAAATGTTTAGAAGAGGACAGGAACCTAACGAGCCCCACAAAATTAGAAGTTATAATTTTAATAAGATGAGGCCTTCGTGAGATTTTGTTGCAGTAAGAAGAACCAAGTTCAGGAAACATGGTTATTAATTTGACCATAAATTGGATCTCATAATATCTCTGGACCTCATTTTTCCTGTGTCAGAGGCACATGACCTATCTACCCTATCTGACATGCATGTTATGTTCAAAGAAGCTTATGGAACATGAAGGCATTTATGAGCGTACTCTACAGTTCAGGCAAAGTGTCCTTATTCTGTATTTTAGTACAGCAAACAATCTCATGTAAGGACTTTGAATGACCAGACAGTGGTCCCGCCTGATAACCTGACCTGATCTCTGAGTTAGGATTTTGATTCTAACAAACTAGTTACAGAGTGGGGGGCAGACACAGAGACAGAGAAGAAGAGACAAAGAATATGGGAAGTTCAATGAGACTAAGGAATTATTGTTGATTTTTAAATTATGATTGCAGATATTCATGTATGTATCAGAGGTTTTGCTCACAGTTACACATGGAGTAGTCACAGATGAAATGATAGGAGGTTTGGATTTGCTTTAAAATCATCTGGCTGGAGGGGAAACAGGGTTGGGTATTGGCTGTAGTTAATCACTGTAGAAGCCAGGTGAGGGGTGCATGGGAGTGAGCTAGAGTATATTCTCTACTTCAATGTTTGAAAGTTTTCCATAATAAAACAAAGAAACAGCACAAATGAAATCCAAAAAGGGGATCACTGACTAAGCATCCTTGACGGCAGCTGAGGACCAGGTCGAGTTCCAACTAGGAGTCCCAGATCTTGGACACAAGATGAGGCACAGTAATGGGAGAAAACTGGACACTGGACTTTGCACTGTGAAAAGTCAGGAAATTTCTCCAGGCCACAGTTTCTTCCTTTCTAAAGTGAAGAGTGGAGACTCAAATTCCCTCCCAGAATTAACATGATGTCAGTTCCAGGGATCTCAAGTGGCCAGGTATATTGTGCCAGACTTCACAAATTGAATGTTCTCTCTTTCTTTCTTTTTTTCCTTCTTTTTTGTACTGAGGAGTTAATCCAGGAGTGCCTAACGACTGAGCCACACCCCCACCCCTTTTAATTCTTTTCTTTTGAGAAGGGGTCTCACTAAGTTGTTGAGCTGGCTTTTAACTTGTGATCCTCCTGCCTCGGCCTCCCAAGCAACTGGGATTAGAGGTGTGCCCCACCATGCCCAGCCAGAATGTTCTCTTTCACAGAATGAAATGATTTTAAGGTACCAGAAATACTCTCTGATTTAAGAAGCACCACAACAGCGTCTCTAGCTAAGTAAAAAATCCTTAGTGAAGTGTGTCCCTTCTTCCCCAATTAATTTGTGGTTTCAGATTTGCTTTTGTAGTAAAAGTTAAATTGATTCAAAAATTCAAAGCTTGGAGAATTTCTCCTAAACTCCATTTTTATGAACTGAATATTAACTTGAGAAAAAAAAAGAATCCTTTATGTTTCTCTTAGAATCAGGAGATTTCTCTCAAAAGAAGAGTCTATTTTCCCATCTTAGCAAGCACAGAGCAAGGAATTCAACCTTCTGGGTTCTGACCAGAAGTTACCACAGGCATGGACTCTCACCATCTGGGATTGGAGATGTGGACAGAAGGGTAGAGGTGAAATTGAGTCTACACTGATGCCTCAGAACCTTTTAAAAGGTACATGTTCAATATCGGTCTTTGTAGGAGCCTGTTTTATTGCAACTTCTCTTATAAATAGAAGACAGAAGAAAGAAGAGTAGTTAATAAAGTGTTTTGGTTGCATCACTTTTATGAAACGTGTTTTCTCCCTGAAGTCTCAGTCCCAAACACTTCTCAAAAGATTTGGAGTTGGGCACTGTGGTGCATGACTGTCATCCCAGCTATTCTGGAGGCTGAGGCAGGAAGGTTGCTTGAGTCCAATAGTTTGAAACCAGCCTGGGCAACATAGTAGGATTCCCATCTGAAAAACAGAAAATGAAGGGGATTAAAAAAGACTTGGAATAAACTTTTCTAGGGCATCTCTCACTTACTTCTAAGTGCCTATTTTCTCTAGCATCCATTCAATACTTTTGCTCTCTTCAAAGTACCCTGTTTCACTGACCATTGAAAAAGCAGACAAGAAAGGTTAATAAGCCATCATCATTTATTGAATGGCTGCTGCATGCAGACACACTCACTAGGAGCTACAGGAGATAAAAAGGAACAAGAAGGTCCCTGAGAGCAGGGCACACACCTGGAATCCCTGCTACCTGGAGGCTGAGGCAGGAGGAGATTGCAAATTCTAGGCCAGCCTCAGCAACTTAGTGGGGACCTCTCTCTCTTAAAAAAAAAAAAAAAAAAAGACCAGGGATGTAGCTCAGTGGTAGAGCACCTGCTGAGCATGTGCAAGACCCTGGGTTCCACCTGTAGTACCAAAAGAAAGAAAGAAAGGGAATGCCCCCGACTTCCTTTTGCTGAGGGATAAGTCAGAGACAAGTTCTAGACTCTGATACCAGGGTTTCTGCACTGTGTTTGTCCCAGCTTGCTTCTCATTCCCTGAGCACTTGGGCCTCCATTTCCTTCTCTGTTACATGGTGATTGACATTACATCCCTTCTTGGGATTGCTGGGAGGACTGAATGAGATAATCCATGGAAAGTAGTTAAAATAGTGGTTGGCATAGGCCACTATGCCAAGTGAGGCTTGAGCATCTTGGAAAAGCACGCGGGAGCCCACTAACACCAGGAGACACTGTACCAGTGGGGCAATGTGGTGCTTCACCAGAGGCCCAAAGCAATTGGGCTGCCTGATCTTGGACCTAAACCTCTAGAACCATGAAATAAGTAAAACCTTTCTCTTTAGGAGTTAATTGTCTCGGGTATTTCCTTGTAGTATCAAGAAGCTGACTAATAATAGCATAGGGTGTCTGAGACTTTCAACACCCAAGTGGCTGGTCTGAGCTTCAGCCCACCCAGGACCCCCTCCCTAAATGAATGTGGAAGGCCTGGACCTTAGGGCACCTAGGCTTCTGTCCACTGAGCAGAATTGTGAGTTCTATAGGTAGCCGGCTAGAGGGGGCATCATGGAGGAGGCATATTGGACCAAGACTTCAAAGATGGGTAGGGTTTCAGGAGGTTAGTGGACAGAAATGATGAAGAGGTCAGCTTCAGAGTAGGACATGTCCTCTTTCTAGAGGACCCCTTGGTGGCCACGTCTTCCAGGCTGAGACATCAGGTGCTGCTGGGAATGTGTTCCTGTCTCCCCTTGGAATCCCCAAGCTAGCTGCCTGAATAGAAACGTATTTTCTTGCTCCCCTGACTCTTGGAAGAGCTTCTACCCACATCCCCCTCTTCCACAGAACGGCCCTTCTCAGGTCCGACTGCTGAGGTTTGCCAGCCCTTCCACGGGGTGTTCTCCTCTCCCGGGGCCACGTTCGGTTGGTTTCCTGGAAGCCAGGACTTGTATGTGTGCACCGCCCAGGGCAGGGTTGCCAACCTTAGGGTGGGGCTTGAGGCCTTCCCTGGCAGGCCCCCAGGCTTGTGGCTGCCATCTAGTCACCCTTCCACTGCCCTGCACCCTCCAGAGTTGCAGGGACATGGTGTCACTGGATCCCCTTCCCAATTCAGCTTTTGAAAAGTTGTGTTTCAAATCAAGATTCCACCAGTTTCTGGCTGTAGAATTTGGGTACATTGCTGGATCCTCCCTAGATTCAGTTTCTTTCTTCATAATACGGGAACTATAAAAAACACCTCATAGCGGAGCTGTGAATTAAATGATCGGCCACAAACTGCATGGTAGATAGAAGAGCTGAATAAATTTTGGCCATTATTGTCACCCCCTGGGCTCCCCCAAGCCTGAACACAGCAGAGAAGACTGCTCACGCAATAGTGTTAGGGAAAATCTTGCACTTTCTTCATTTTTCCAGTTGAGGGTCAGAAAAAAAAAAGGTGAAGCAAGGCTGAGTCCCTGGAATACTTCTGCCCAGTGTCCCACATCACAGGATGTGCCCATCCTGCTCTGGAGACCTCGTCCCCCTCTGGCTGCAGTCCTCCTTCCCCTCACCATCAACACCCCCTCCTTCTGCAGAGATGGTGAACACTCTGGCATTGTTTCTTCCGGCCAATGGCTTCTCCCTGGCCTGTGATTGGTACCCCCCCGAGATTCCACTGCAATCCAGGCATCCCAGCTATGTCAGCGTGACTCAAATTGTGTGTGTCTGACATCCACATGGCCCCGTAGAAGGCCGGCTCCAGCAAAAGGTTATTTGGAACACTGCTGAATGTTTGATGGCTGTCAAGTTATCTTTTTGGGGTCGGGCCATTAAAGTTGCATCTGATGTTTTAGGGAACAGAGGAGATAAACTGCATGTTGAAATTCATCAGGGCACAGAGCAGATTGTTTTGGACACAGACACGGTGGCAGCTTCAGCTAGGTGGGTTCCCCCACCAAACTGTGGAGTTTTTTCTTCCACATGGCTATTTTACTCAAATGCAAAGCAGAAACAATCTCCAAAAGCAAAGCACAGAGACTGCCAGAGGAACAGATTCAGTAAAATCTGGGCCTGCTGGGTCCCCTACAAAGCACGTGGCTCTATTCACCAGGCTTCTATCATCTGGATCAGAGAGCTCTCTGGTCCATCTCTAAATTCTCTACCTAATCTGTATCATGAATCCTGAAAAAGCTATTTTTCTAGGCAAACCTAAATCCCGCCTGAGTGCCTCTTAGATCATGCCCCTGGTACCTCTCTCTCCATGTGACCCCAAGGGGTCAAGGAGTCAGTGGCACCAGCCGATTCTTCGTCCTCCGAGCACACTGTGTACCCCTCCCACTCTTCTTCCTGTTTTCCAGAATAGTCTTTCCTTCTGTTTCTCCTTGCTATATATCCAACCACAGGTCCCACAGAGTCCTACCAAATGACAGACACACCGCCAGCCAATACTATGCAGATAAGCAGACCAGGAGTCACAGCGCTGGTCCCTGAAGCCAGGACTCCTGGGCCACCTCCTCCATGCAGTCTTCTTGGTCATCCACTCAATAGAGGTGACGTATAGGATCACCTCAACTCCCTTAACATTTAGTTGGTCCCTACTGACCTCTCCATCATATTAAAGTAAAAGGTGTGTGTGTGTGTGTGTGTGTGTGTGTGTGTGTGTGTTGAAGAAGAGGCTCTTGAGATGCTCATTTTCTTTCTTGGACTGCTTGATTAATAGAATCAGGACCTTGGGCATGGTGGAGGCTGAGGCAGGAGGATTGCAAGTTTAAAGCCAGCCTTAACAACTTAGCAAAGCCCTAAGCAACTCAGTGAGACCCTGTCTCTAAATAAAATACAAAAAAGGGTGAGGGATGTGGCTCAGTGGTGAAGCACCTCTGGGTTCAATCCTGGATACAAAAAGAAAAACAAAATCAGGACCTTGAGATTTTTCTTCCCCCACTGACACCCAAATACACCAAGAAGCGAGTACTGTGATGCTCCATGGAATGTTACTTTAAAAAGCACACAACTGGTGAGGGATGGCACCCAAGTGCCCACTCATCCTGGGAAGTCATTAAATCATGATACATCCTGACCATTGAAAAGCAACCTGTGCTTGCAAAGAGTCAAGTAAATCCACAAATACCTGCACAAAAAGAGGACTGTTGTGAACTGAAAAATATCAACTCACAGAACAAGATGTCTGGCATGTTTCTGCTTAGGTCTTTCAACTTTCATGTGGAAAAAAAAAAACAAAAAAACAAATTGGCCAAAAGTAAAGATCTCCCTAAGGTGATTGAGAAGGTGGTGGGTTATCTGAAAATAAGAATGAGAATGAGAAATGAGAAACCATTACAAAAAAATTAAACACACCTTAAACATTTTATCTGGCTAATGCACACATATTCATCAACTTCTTGATGTCAGGCCAAAGCCTATTTTTAAGTATGGGTCTGCTGATTAGAGCTCTCCATTACCTTTCATGTGTAAGCCACACTCATCATGCATTATGTAAGATTTCTAGTTTCATTTTCTTTAAAGTAGAATGTGAAGTTGAAGATGTGGAGATAGTAATTTGAGTGTAGGCTCTTCAATCATGATAGAAGCTATGAGATCTCTCCAGGCACCAGTTTCTAATAGGTAACATGGGGCGTAACAACAGCACCCAGAGGAGCTGGGGACACGGCTCAGCATAGAACATGAGCTTGGCACGCGGGATGCCCTGGGTCCCGTCCCAAGATTTCTAGATGGAGATATAGATATCTACATCTATTTTACTTTCCCATCATTGTAGTCCAGTGAGAAGACGAAGAAGCAGGGCGGGGTCACTCTATCTGGGACCCTGGCCATCTCTTCCTTCTCCTCAAACATGCTGCATGTCCACAGGTACCAGGAGGAAATGAATATCCCACCATAAAGCAGAAATGACCAAGCCTGCCACGTACCAGCCCCGTGGGAGATGCCACGGCAGCGCAAAGCTTAGTAAGAGTTCTGGTTGTCAAGGATGTGATAATATAATGGCAGAAGGTGGGAAATACCTGGGAAGGTACTAATAGTAATAAATAGAATATCAGTTAGGATATTTTCAGTTGTAAGTGATACAAAAAACTAATGAAGTAGCTTATTTACTGAAATTTTTAATTGACTCAAGCAATGGAAGATTCCAGAGGTCAGGAGACTTCAGGTGCTGCTTAAGCCTCTGGGTCCAGTTCCTTTGATTTTCTCAGTTTTGCCTCGCTACATGTGTCAACTTTGTTCTCAGGACAGACAAACTGCAGTCCTGCAAGTCACTCTGAGGGAGTCAAGTTCATGTCCCCAACTCTTAGTCAGTCACTCTAACTTGATAGACAGGATTATGTTGATCAGCCCGGTTGTTAGGGCTCAGCCCTACATTTGGTGATAGAGTCAATTTATTAAGTACTTCTTTCATGTGTCAAGCACCATGCTACTTGCCTTTATACAGATTATTATGTTTAACCTAACAATAACCCTACACCGTAGGGTAGGTGC